GGGAGGCAAAGGCAGCAATGTCTTTGTTAGTTAAAATCTAGTCTGGACTAGATAGCAAGATCTTGACATCCAGGGGTACATAAGAAGACCCTGTCTCAAAACAACGGCAGCAGCAACAACAAAATAATCAGAAGACCTCAACAGCACAGTCACAATAAACAAAGGCAAAGGAACACATGAACGAATGAAAGTCAGCATCATCTGGGAACTGCAAAGTAAAATAGCAGTGAGTTCATCACAGCAAACATCCAGGCTAGCAAACATCCAATCTCAGCACTCAGGAGGCTGAGGCAGGAGAATATCTTAAGTTTGAGAACAGCCTGGACCAAACCAAAAGAAAACCAACCACTACCAACACCAACAAAACACCTTCCCAATGAAACAGTACTGTACACCTATTACAGTGGCCAAAATATCCAATGGCAATACCAAGTGGAGGTGAGGATTGGGGGAAGATGAAACTCACTCATGTTGTGAAGAGTTTGTGTGCTTTCAGTGAGAATGGCCCCCATAGGGTCACTAGTTAGAGGAAGTGTTTGGGAAGGATTGGGAGGTGTGGCCATTTGGAGTAGATATGATCTTGTATGAGGTAGATATGGTCTTGTCAGTGGGGTAGGCTTTGAGGTTTCAAAAACGCACAGCAGGCCTAGTGTCTCTCTCTGTCTGCTGTCTGTGGATCAGGATGTAAAGCTCTCAGCTACTGCTCCAGCACCATGCCCACCTGCTGCTATGTTCCCCGCTATGATGACAATGGATGAACTCTCTGAAACTGTTAAGAAAGTCCTCAATTAAATGCTTTCTCTTTTAAATTGTCTTGGTCATGGTGTCTCCTCAAAGCAGTAGAACAAGACAGAAAGCAATTTGGTACAGCTACTTTTCAAGACACTCAGTAGTTTTTCTGATCTTTTTCAGCAGGGTCTTGGGTATCCCATGCTGGTGTTGAAATCACTGCGAGGCTGGGAATGACCTTGAACTTTTGATTCTCCTGCCTCCACCTCCCGAGTGCAGGGATTACAGGTGGACATTTCTATGCCTAATATATGTGTGTCTCCTGTGAGTTGTCCCTCTGCTGCCTGTGAAGGCTGAAGAGACTTCCCCAAAATCCCCATGTACATTGTTACTATGCCTATTTACAGATGATAAGTAAAAATGATGAATGAAAATAAAACTTTACATATTCAGGAAAGCAAAGCAGATTAGATACACAGTATCATACTTAGTCACATCCCGGCAACAGGTATTGACTAAGGCTAAGGAGAAAATCTTAAAAGCCAAAGAGCAACACACACACACACACACACACACACACACACACACACACACACACA